GGTCCCTTTATGAAGCCAGAGCTTCACACCAAATTTGAAGAAAAATTCCTATATCGTATTTACAATACAATCGTTTACGGACGGACACGGTGACCACATTCAAAATAGTAGTAGTGTGATAAAGCCCGATTAATCTACGCAATTTAAAAATGTATGTAAGATTTGCATGAAGTTCTTGCTATACTAGTTTTAAAATAGTTAATAACATATAGATATATTGAACATTTCAGTCAAATTTTTTCTGAGGAAAGTTGTGAATGTTAAAAATGAAATGGTGTTTAACGTTCTACTGTTCTGCTCCTAAACTGGGCTAATGTAGACGGGTGAATGTTAAAAGTTGTCAAAAGATATATCCTAAAAAATAATATTTATATCGCGCTGGTTCCATCCACAAATGCATGCACAATGCGCCATCTTTGTACATTATACAGACCAGTTACTTGATTAAATATTTTTAAATTAAATGAGTTTCCAAATTTCCTCTAAGCGATTCAAGTAAGCTTGAAGTTTTACACTGTGTGGTAAGCTGCTCCATAAAATTGCTGGGTTATATTGTAATTTTAATATTGGCACATATAACACGCACTAATCTTGGAGGAGCGAAGGTTTCGTGATGGTGCGTGGTTCTTAAGTTCAGATCTGTAGACAGACAGGACTGGGTCCATATAAGCATCTGAACACGTGGCACACGATTGTATGTGATTCTGGAACTCACTGGCAACCAGTGAGGTTCTTTCATAACAGATCTCATATGTGAACATCTGGAAATCTTATCATAGCGATAGTGTTCTCAACCATTTTTAACTATGAACGTAGGGTTTGGGACAGCAACATTTGTAAAATTGGTCTTCTTGTCATAGTTTAATTTAAGCATAATAAATGTTATCCAGGACTTGATTTGTTTGGGGTATTTTCAAAAAATCTGTATATTGTAAAAAAAAAAAAGGTCGATCGATCGTAAAGTCTTGATTTTAAGTACCATTACTACGATAATAGTCTACTTTCCATTTTAACGGTTAACGACGATATAGCAATTATCGTCTAATACACTTAACATCCCAGTCATCAGATGTGTTCTAGAGAATTGATTATATGGGCTTGCCATGTGAATAAATAACAATTTATATAATACTTGAAGTCATAAAATAGCCTGCAATGCATATTTAAAGGGGCATTATCCAAGAGCTAAATCTGCCTATTGCAGGTCTTTTGTTACGGTTTTAGCTATAATATAATTTAGATATGGATAACCGATACTTTATTTATTACCGTAACAACAGTAGCAATGCCATTCGAGACTATACACCTTTTCTAACCCAGATAACTTTGTTCAGAATGAAGTAATTTGACTGAAGTTTTAGCATATTCCCTTTTCATTACCTATTTTTAAAACTAGTATAGCAAGAATTGTCAGCCCTGTATCTAAATCTTACATTATGCCCCTTTAACAATCAAGGTCTTTTTCGTGGTATTGCTTGCAAGAACATTGATACTGATCACAAACGGGACTGCGAACACGAACGCATTTGATTGATTAACTAATATTTGAATGCAGTCGTTTATACTGTCTTGTAAGCAGGTGGTACAACTTGCAGTGTCTTCCGTTCCTTAAAACTAAATGCGTGATGTGAAAAGTCCCCAGTCGGTTGCAAGAATTCGCTATGTCCTGTTTTGTCGCGCCGGTCGTCTTTTATTACATCATTGTGACTAATCACACTTTCATTTACTGACGAACGTAATTAATATCCCCTGGGGCACTGACGACCGCTTTTATTTGCCCAGCAGTATGTTAAATTGTGGATGACAGACGAGTCGACCGAAAGAGTTTTAGAAGAAACTAATCTATTATTCCCGAAAATCAGGAAACGGGTGAACTCATAAAAGTCTTTAAGAGCAACGAATAATTTTATTTTATTATGAAAATTTAAAAAAATACAACCGTTATCGTGTTTCCTTCAATTAAATTCTCTTCTCGTCTGTCCAAAGTCATTTCTCTACAATTTAATCATAGATTTTCATTTTTAGCTACTTCTTGGCGTTTATGTTGTTTTAAAAGATATATCGAGTTATATGTTGGTAAAATTCGATGTGATGCACATATTAAAGGGAATGAAATAAAATAGGGTTTAACGCCCTACTCTTCTGCTCCGACTGCGCTAATGATGACGGGCATGCGCCATACAGGGTGCTATGAGGGAAATTTTGCCCGGACATCGGCACTAAGGCCTACTCTTATATCGAATTTCAACTGCCAGGGGATCTTTTACGTGCACGCTAATGTGTAAACAGGAACTCGGTTTTTCATCCCTTCTTTGTAGCATTGTGAATACATCTCTATCTACTGGAAAATCTCCTGACGTGTTGAAAGAGGCATTGGTTTTTCCACTTCTCAAGAAGAGTACATTAGATTTCAATGTCTTGAAAAGCTATACAGACCTGTCTCAAACCCGTCTTTCATCCCCAAACTTATTGAAAAGGTTGTAACAGCACGTTTGAAAGCCCATCTGAAGTTACACAATCTTAACGAACCCTTCCAATCAGCTTACAGAAGCAAACATAGTACAGAAACAGTCTCAACTCGTGTGAATAACGATATCCTTACTAGTCTTGACAATAAAAATGTGGTGTTACTGGTTCTTCTTGATTTAAGTGCCGCCTTCGACACAATCGACCAGTCTCTACTGTTAAAACGGCTTCATGACGTTTTCGGACTTGAGGATAATGTGCTGAATTGGTTCCGGTCATATCTCACATTCCGCCACCAATCTATTGTCCTCAATAATGTTAAGTCTTCACCTGTAGAGCTTAAATTCGGCGTCCCCCAGGGGTCGGTGCTCAGGCCGTTGCCCTTTACCGCTTATACCACTCCTCTATGGCGTATTTTGAAGTCATTCAATCTGAATTATCACATCTATACTGATGATACTCAACTTTACATTTCAATTAAACCCGAAAATGAATCTCTTCGAGTGTCTTAACTTGAATCGTGCATTGATGCTATTAAGATCTGGATGAAAACCAACTTCTTAAAGCCCAATGATGAAAATCGGATCTAATCATCTTTTATCCAAAATATCCGTTAGTATTATCCCAATCGGTAATTCTGTGGTTAACCCAGTTAATAGCGTTCGAAATCTTGGTGTTATTTTGGATAAGAATATGAACATGAATGCTAACATCTTCTCAATCTGTAACGCTTCAAACTTCCAACTTCTCAAAATTGGACTGATCCGTAATTTCCTTGACATTAACTCTCCAAAACTGTTAATTAACTCTTTGGTCACCTCACGTCTCGACTACTACAACTCGTTACTCTACAACTTACCAGCATATCAAATTAATAGACTGCAGATAAGTTTGAAAACAAAGCTGCAAGAATTGTTACAAGAATTACATGTCAATACATAAGATGACACACCTGTACGATCTACGTTTGTCCACAAATGTAAGAGTTAACCATGATCCATGTAGCATTCGCGTGATAAAAAGTTGTTATTCAATATATATTTGGCCTCAATACAACCGACAATATCTACACTACCCGTGAACTTGGCATCCCAATGAGAACTCGAATTACGCGTTGTGTACCACACCTTATACAAAAACGTCTGAGCATAAACGATACGCCCTTCAGTCAGAAATAGTATTAGTTTCTTTAGCTAAAGAAGAAACCTCGTCGCTGTGACCCAGAGTATTGATGTTTTAATTGCATTTCCTTCCCCATAGTTGAACTGAATGATTAATAATTGTCAAAGGATTATCAATGATTAACTTTAGTTTGATATCGATTCAGGTGGTGCATTTTAAATAAGAAGATACCGTCTAATAACTCATGAAAAACACATAACTTGTGGATTATAACGTTGGACTACACAATCGGAATGAAATGAGTCATGTTCATAAAATAGTATTTGAATTTCGTGCATTATATTAAACACGTTATATTAATCCTATTTTCTGAAAATAATTAAATTGAAACAGCACTTTTAAGGCCGCAAAAAGACATATTCCACACATAATTAGACTGGTGCATGATGCTAGTATTCTTCTGAAAACAGAATCAGTATTGGCTTTCAATGCCTTTCTTCTAGTTCCTGGTTTAAACCCAATGTGTATCTATTAATCATTTTCTTATTATATCAATTCCACCAATGAGAACCTTGTTATAAATTTATTGAAACATTTCACTCAACAGTTTTTACATATATATGTTACAGAGTGGGTCAAACATATTCTAAATTATATGTTTTAACCGAAGTTACAGTTTGAAGTGGAGCTAATTGGTATAATTGTATTCCTTGGCCCTGAAAATGTAGGTGTAGAAACACAGATTGCAATCCCAAGTGGTTTAGTAGCTGGGATAGTGGTAGATATAGGATTTTACATGCGAAAATCTTGACGATCCATGATGGCTGTCATAGCATATTCTGAGGAGTTAGTGAGTGTCAAAAATATAAGCCTAAGGCAATGAGTAGTTTCCGGAGAAAAGTTGCGCTTTTGTTCGGAACGTCCAAATCAACTTGCTACTGCTAGGGTGCCTATTGGTAGATATAGGTTTTACATGTGGAAATCTTGACGATCCATGGTAGCTGTAATAATATATTTTGAGGAAGTGTCGAATATCAAAAATGGAAAGCTAAGGCAATGAGTAGTATCTGGAGAAAAGTTACGCTTTTGTTCGGAACTTCCAAATCAACTTGCTAGGGTGCCTAACAATTCTCTCTACTTTACCCCATTCCCCTCCAGAATCACTGAAGCACATGCGTATTTCAACGAACAACCATAGTTAATTGCATCTCTATAGTTCCTTACAGTTCGAAGATAGCACAACGCACTTCTCTGTAGAAGTTCATTGATTAAACGCGAGCTCCGCCCACTGTACAGTTATTCGCTATCGATATTTGAACTTTGGTTTTGATTAGATGCATATTATATTTGACAGGTGGAATCTCGCAGCACGTGTTTGTTTTCTGGTAAAGAATAGTGTACGATGCCGCCAATGTTAGGATATCTTTCACCACACCAAGTGTAGTGGATTATAGCTATTATGATATAAAAGATATGGATTGTTTAATAGTATTCAAAGATTGTTTCCGTTTATTCTCTGAAAGTGGATTAAACTAAACTTAGTTGTTATCTAAACCGGATATCGGATTTAATGAATTTGTGGAGCATATACTATTTCGAATGATTTTAAGCATACAATTCAGTTGTATTAGATGAGTAAATGCAGTCTAAAAATGTATATAATAAAACGGAAGACTGGTCAACACCATAGAGATGGTTCGTTTTACATCAGCTGATGGTAAGTTTCATTTTCAAATGCTAGTCAAGCGAAAGCTCCTAATTCAGCTCTAATATCATCTAGTTTTTAATGTCAACAGCCATGAATGCAACATGCATTCATTGACAAACTTGACACATCTGTAAATTTGTAATGCGGTCTTAATGCTTCTTTTTGGAATACACAAATGATAATCAATATATTTTTGACTTAATCCCCCCCCCCCCACGAAAGAGACACATTCAGAAACCGTTGGTGATCTTGGAAGTCATAGCGGGAGGGGGGGGGGTGAAGCAAAACGTTCTGTGGTATCTTTAATTATGCAAATACAATACTGTCAAATAATTTGACCAGTTACATAAAGAGTTGGCTGGTAAAAAAAATGCTCATCCATACAGGAATAGATTTATTAGTTCCCTACGTGCATCAGTTTAACATCACAACCTATCTACCCCAGTGCTGATTGTTTGCAGTATTGGGAAGCCACTGGGTAAACGATAATCTCGGTATCAACGTCCACCACATCCAGACGCCAAGTGATGTGTACGCAGGGAACCAAGCCGGGGAACTCATGTAATCATATAGGAGATCAAACTTCTTTTAGACACCTAGCATATGATAACGTCAATAGACATTACATGATTAGTCTATTATACAATCCGTGAAATATGGAAATTCCGCGTATACCTTGTCTGGGATTAAATATAGTATCAATAAGGTCCCTCATAGATTCTCATTGATGAAATAAAAACAAGACATTTTTTCTATTGGAGGTGTACGTATGAACAATAATTATTTCCATCGAAAAATAATATAGTTGCATATCAATGTTACGAGTTTGTCGCGCTATCCGTTCAGCAGAGGGGGGGGGGGGCGAATGGTTAGCACGTGCGCGGTGTATCATAAGGTCTGTCATTAAGTCGACTGGCGTGGTTTCGATTCACAGTTGTACGTGACAAGAAGTGAGTTCTCCCACTGCAAAAGACGCCTACGCGCAAACGAATTATTGAATTAAAATTGAACAATGTGTTAGTCCCAAAATTACCCAGTTTGTGTCGCGTGGACGTTAAACCCCACTCTCTTTCGCTCAACGGAGGGCATCATGAAGTCTTAAAATTACCTATTGCCTCTACTTGATTATGATAATAAAGTAAAACGGATGTATACTAATTATAACTGAATACGAGGTGGTAGTATTCGGTTGTGAATTAAAATTGAACAATGTGTTTGTCCCAAAATTACCCAGTTTGTGTCGCGTGGACGTTAAACCCCACTCTCTCTCGCTCAACGGAGGGCATCATGAAGTCTTAAAATTACCTATTGCCTCTACTTGATTATGATAATAAAGTAAAACGGATGTATACTAATTATAACTGAATACGAGGTGGTAGTATTCGGTTGTGTAGTCGTATTTGTGAATTAGTCTGTAGTTATGGGAATACACGAAGTCTTGGTTTAACATAATATATCAAACCTGGCCCTGAATTTTACACTCAAACACTGGCATTGTGAATTAACTGATATGACATGTCATGACATTCTTATCTAGCATGTCAACCAGTTCAGCCGTTGTATATGTACGTGCAATGCAACCAACAGGCAACTATTATACAGAATATGTAAGATCTTTAGAATTCATTAACTCGCGAATCTTGTGATATGTACTGCACGAATCATGTTGTCAGTTCTATTGTTGGTGGAGTTTCTGGCCTTATAAACATCTGGTTAACAGTTAGTAGTTGTGTGTCTATTAGAAGACTTGGATGTTATAATGTTACGTATCTAAACTGTACAGAGCGTACCTTTGACAGTGGGTCTCGACAGAACATTCATAATACGACTGTTTGAAACATGGGGAATCACCGCCCACGAATTGAAATACCCTCGGGACGGTTTAAAGGAACATTTCAAGATTTAGCATAGGATGAATGAAGATGATGAATTTGAGGTTTAAAAATGAACATATATATATATTCATTCTCTATAATAATATATCTTTATTGTTATTTCATACAACTAATTGTCAACTCTTTTCCAAACGTATACATAATGACCCTCGATTTCACGTCCTATGGGGGGGGGGGGGGGGGGTTGATGGCTGAATGGTTAGCGTGCGCGCGCTGTATTATAAAGTTTGTCATTGAGTCGACTGGCGTGGTTTCGAATCCCCGGTTGTACGTGACAAGGAGTAGGGTCGCCTGTCCAACCTCGTGGGTTTTCTCCGGGTCCTCCGGTTTCCTCCCACTGCTAAAGACCCCTACGCGCAAGCGAATTATTGAAATAAATTAAACCATATGTTAGTCCCGAAATGACCTAGTTTGTGTCTAGTGGACGTTAAACCCCATTTCTCTCTCTCTCCTTTTCACGTCCTATGGTGATTTCCAATTACTTGATTTATTAGAATTCTGCAAAGATAGGAAAATAATATGTTTATTACTGTGACGATACCCAGGTAAGCGAATCATGGCGTCAAAAACGCGGGTTTGGGTTCAACAATTTCAATAGCGATCCAAAGTCGGCACATGCGAGCTACTAGCTTCCATCCAGATGAAGCAATTAAATGTAATTTGGATTTGGCGGGTTTAAGCCATGCAGTGTACTACGAGGACAATTGCGCCTTGACAGCTACTTTACAACCTGTTCTTCGGCGAATCTCAACTGTTAAGGGTTCGGTTACGTGTACACATTGACAAGGAAAACCACCCTGAAAACCCCGATTCGAACGCGCAACCTTTTGATTCGTGAACCAAAGCCACCATGGCTGCATGAAGCAAGGAATCCGTCCGTATGAAGTGTCTATAAGATGACAGCGTGAAGTGTTCACTTCTACTACAGTTCAATAATATCATTTCAACAAAACTTTGGTTATGTATACTATAATACGGCAGAGGAAGTGTTGACCTTACGCTTGGTGCATTTTTACTATATTCTTTGGATTTTACCAACTTTGCCCATCTGAAGAATTTGGCAATTTATGCTACAACAAATAACACTTGAATATGTGTTTTGTATTACTGTTTTCATAGTACAATGCAGTTGATACAGTTACATAATACATATTCTTAGACTAGACCGTGCCTGTAATTTGGATGGCACATAAAATTAAGTTCCACCAGAGTTAAGTCTACCGCAATTCCATTACCGTTTACACCCTTTTACACATTCCCATATTCAAACGACAGGGCTCAAATGCGTTGACATGTTCACAATATTTTTAGTTTGTAACTAATAGATTCATATGCCAGTGTTAAATATTTACAGCGTTATTATTTTAAACAAAAAAAAAATAGATGTTTTTTTTTCCCTTGTATTTTTATTGAGATACGTTTGGGTGATTTTGCTCATTTTCATGGTCAAACTCACTGAACATACGTTTTTTGCTATGTTCGAATGTCATTGGCCAGCAGATAACAGAAGAATTTGGAAAGCATATATATTAATAGTCTTACTTTTATACATTAACTGTGAGACAATTAAGCCAGAATGATAAAAGCAAGGCTCTCTGGTTTAACTCACCCCACTTTTTGTATAGAATCTATTTATTTTACAATTACTGTAGACCAGATCTACATTTGGTAGGACATACTGTCGACTCGTTATACATCTTGACTTCATGGCAGGTTGCCTATATGTACATAATTGTTAGGTACTGCGGACATGCGTTGGTAAATGTCAAACTGCCAGCATCTACTTGTAAGTGTGGTCGCCACATTTATGCTTCGCTTGTCATACCTCAAAAGATGGACCGACGAAATAATTATCAGTCGTTGCATCGTGTACTCGTGTTTCTGGTAGAAAGCATCAGAATTGAAAAAAGCTGAACCATGACCGACAATGAGAAATCTATGTGGTTAAGTCAATTAGATTATTAGATTATTGTACTCATAACCGAAGAGCAAAATCACCCAGCCCCAGTTGCTAAATTTGCCTATTACAGGTTTTTCTTTAGACCTTAAATTTTATATAAATTTTTAAAGGGGCATTAGGTAAAATTAATTATATAAATAGCTGACAGTTCTCGTTAAGATAGTTAACAAATAGATAATGAAATATGCTGAAAATTTCAGTAGAATTGTTTCACTCTGAACCGAGATATTGGCGATTAAAGTTTAAGCTAGCCTTGATTGTTATTACTATCGTTGTCAAGATAATAAACAAAGTCTCGTTTATCCATTTTTACGTTAAATTATCCATCACAAACTAAATATCACAGACTAACAATGACATCGAGAGATGGTTATTGTCTTGATAAGTTAATTAATGTCTAATTTATAATTTAGATAACATTTCAGACCTAAATATAGACCTGTAATAGGCAGATTAAGATCTTGCATAATGCATGTTTAATTAGACATTTATTAACATGATAAGATCATAAACAACTTTCGATACCACCGGATGCTCGAGATTTTAACTATATTAAAACGATTCGACCAGTACCATAGTTACGATAATAAACAATCAATGCACACATCTAGTTAAAACTACAAACGTGCAGTGGCAACTTGGTTCGGAATAATGTAATTTGAATGAAATTTTCGATATATTCATTTTGCATTGTCTATTTTTGAATTAATATAGCAAGAACGGCCAGCTCTTTATCTAAATCTTACATAATGTATCTTTAATGGACCGTTATACTTTCCCCAACTAAATGCTGTAATATGACGTTCATTGGACGGATTAGTTGCAATCTGATTAAAATACACATCTATATTTCGTTTCGTTTTTTATACTTACGATGGCCTACACTACATGAAGATCTGACCGGTTGTAATGGAAGGTCACGCCAGGGGTCTACAAACGGCTTTTGACCCTATGACGTCAAACATTTGATTAATCAATCAGCGTTGGTGTTTCTAGTAGAATACCCACAGTTCCGTGCACCGTACGCCAAGAACTCGCCGTAACAGATCGTTTCATTGGCTAACCCCTTACATCAACCAAAACACGAGTTATAAAACAACTCTTCCAGATCCTAGTGTAGTGCCCTGTGGGGACCGTGTTTGTTTTTCCAGAAAACTTTGCTTGCATCTCTGAACCCACGTCGGACAGGCGGCGAGCCCTGCTGCCACTCAAACCTATATTTTTCTACCACATCCCTGAACCTAGGTCGGACAGGCGGCGGGCCCAGGGCCCGACTGGCAAACCTAAATTAACCTACCACACCTTTAATCGGAGCATTATGGCAAAGTGGGAATTACGCACGCTCGTCATTCTTTTTTTTTTCTTACACCGGGGGTCTCTCATGTGTCGTATCTAAATAAGCGGGACCAAGCCTATGTTATGGCTTCTTCTGGCAAGTTTCTTAGGAAACACTTGTCCATGGTGGCAGTAAAGACAAAAAAATGAAATTTTGAACTATAAAAAACGAAACGAAATAGGATCAGTTTAAATCAGCATTGCTGTTGTTATCTTGTCGTAAAAAGATAGACTTTTGATATCCAATATTTAAGACAAAATGAACATTTTAAAATTGGCACACGATTCGCGTGTCAGAATGATTTTGAGAGCCATTGTAATGAAGTGACTCGATGAACGAGGCTAAACATGCAAATGGAATCTTCGCCGAACATAACTGATTAGAAATGATTGAATGTAAATCAGTATATATATACGTTCATATTATATTATTATATGCGTTGCGACCCATTTGTGTCCATTTCTAGTTGCCCAAGAATACAGATTTAGCTCCTTTAATAATAAAAATAAAATAAGAAATGCAACATTAGAATCTCCATATTCTCGAAACAATAATGAAATTATATTATGCATTATGTCTTAAACATACATTATGCAAGTGCTAAATCTACCTATTGCAGGTCTTTGTTTAAGCCTGAAATGTTATACAAACTATTAATTAGACATTAATTAACTTATCCAGGCCAAAATCAACTTTCGATGCCATCGGATTTCTCCGATATTAAATAGATTGGAACAGTTCAGCCATATATTGATTTAAAGGACAATATTGGTGCCAGTCATTATCATATATGTGATGGAACTGGTTAAACACGTTACAAATATTTTTTTTATGAATTGTCAGATATTCTTTCACAGTCTCACAACAACTTTTGGTCTTCGAAGGAATTATTAGTGAGCAGAAATTCGCCCATGTGTCTGTTATTATCCGTCACTTCAATCAGTTATATACGGGGATAACTCGTGTTTTCCTTTTGCGTTCGTCACTTCCGATTGTTGAAACATTGATTCCACATCTATCGTAGCAGTGATCTCTGTGACAAAATAATATTTGTAACGTGTTTAACATGTTCTGTCATATATATGATAATGACTGGCACCAATATTGTCCTTTAAGCTACAAATGGAGGAGCGAGACTTAGCTTCGAACAACCAGTACGGTGGTTGAAATTATTGCACACGTCTTGCCAAACTTTCAAAGGCTAATATCTTCGCTCGCTATAGAGTAATTTGAATGAAATTTTCAAATTATTTATTTCACATTATCTATTTTCGAACTATTATAGTAAGCAGGGCTAGCTCTTTATCTAAATCTTACATAATGTATCTTTAATTTAGAAATTACGTAACTTGAAGTTGGACTCTCTAACGTGATACTTAGATATTCAGAATTTTTAAACTTAATATAATGCCATACAAGATAAATCTGTTGGTGATTGGCAGTGGGACTAGTAATCATCTCCCCATTGAAAATGTTAAGTCCAGGACACATCTTAACAATTGGCGTATTAAAAATTTATACGTCCACATTCATAATGTAGCCGTATTATACCGTCGTCTCTCTCTGTCTGTGTGTGTTTGTGTATCGCCTACAGGTATAGCAATTCTTAACGGATTGCCTTGAAACATATAAATCAAAGTAGGAATGTGGACGTATATTGCAACGGTAGCGATGCTCTTGTTTAACATTCTGATCATCTTAATCTTTATAACAGTTATGAGCCCAACGGGGTGGACCGTTTTGAATTTGTTTACGCCTGATCAAAGGAATCCATAAGATGTTCAGCAAAACCTGAAATATTTAAATTTAATCACAAATTGCCAAGCAAAATGGATGTGATGGATGAATTGCTATAAATAGAAGCATGACATATAGAAACCGCGAGAAGCGGGATTTTTGTACCCATGTGCATGCAGTTCAAAAGGGAAGATACTAATCCCATTTTAGTCTATGCAATTATTGCCACAAAATCGCTCAAAGGACCGCTTAGTGTACAATAGTCATGATAGAGTATATCGCATATTGTTTATATCGCAAGGAGAAATATCTTATAACCCAATAATATGCTTGTTTCGTCTTAATAACACTTCTCTGTTGATGGGTTCGCGTGGGTGATATTTAATTTACTGTAATAGTTTGAGTATTTGGACTGACTTTACTATCTTCTATTACATGTGTATCGTAACACACTTTAACCTCAGTTTACTTTTACTTTCAGATTCGACAGTTAAAGTACTTTTTGAATTACGCTGCCCAGAAATTATGACCCTTACTGTTACGTGTTCACTGCTGTTGGATAATTGAGAATTACACATAAGAAATTAAAAAAAACTTGTTGCTTACAAGAAAAAAAGCGCCTAATTGTTTTTGAAATAATCAATTAAAACGAAGACAATAAATGTCAATAAAAGGGTTCATTATTTGTACAAATGATGAACAGATAGAGAAAAGACAAAATGGATATATTGGTATACCCGACAACACCTGTATTTATATTAGGAATAATGTTTTTGTTAACACAAGTTATAACAGGTAAGACACTTTATTAATTGCACGCCTTCCTCTTCCCACCACAATACTGAAAGATGGCATCGGTATTCTAGTGGGACAACACGTCCCTACTTTCTGACTGTGGGGCTTGCAATAGGGGTGTCACAATCGGAAAAAAATTTGGGGTCGGGTTGTTTCTGAGGCAAAATTTGTCACTGAAGACGATTATGAGATTATTTCACTTCTGTGACGTCATTTTCGGTTGGGGTTTGTCTGATTTCCGAAAAATTAATTTCCAGATAGTATGGGTGATTATCACGCAAGGTATGGCTTGTAATATATCATATATAAGGTATTTTAGTAATTGAACTGAAACAATAATCTCTAAAACTAGTTTCCCCAAATCCAAGATGGCGGAAATTCAAAATGGCGGCCAAAATTTACCTAAAATGGCTGATTTGTCAGATAAAAGTCATTTCACTCTTTGATATGATTTATAATATGTAATTTAAAGGATTTTCAGTGTCACTAAACTTAAAATTAATCTAAATATAACGGGGTTCCAAAATCCAAGATGGTGGAAATTCAAAATGGCGGCCAGAATTTCCCTAAAATGGTCGATTTTTCGGATAATCGTCATTTTTAAGTTTGATATGGCGAGTGATATGCGATTTAAAGGGTTTTCTGTGTCACTGAACTTAAATACAACCTCAAAAGAAGAGTTTCCAAAATCCAAGATGGTTGAAAATCCGAAATGGCGACCAGAATTTCCCTAAAATGAATGATTTTTCAGATAATCGTCATTTTTTCGGTTTTGTATGGCTTGTAATAATGTCCTTTATTAGGTTTTCAAAGTCCACGAACTTGAAAATAACCTCAAAAATGAATTTTGAAAATGAATATTACCTCAAAAATGAATTTTGAAAATGAATATTACATCAAAAATGAATTTTGAAGATGGTAGATGATTGCTTAAAAATACAACAGGACAATCGTGAATTTTCCTCTTGGATTGGCTTGTAATAGCAAAGAGTAGTAGTTATTTTGATGGTAACTGGAACTGTTATACTGGATCTCACATAAACAAGATTTAATATTATTCCAGCAAAACAGTGAGGTATATATATCCAGTTGTTAAGAATTTATCTATTGTTTATTCAGAAATGGTTCGAAACAGTGGTTCAGTGAGTAAGACTCGCTAAGAACGAGATCTGGGGTTCGATCCCTATGTTTGCTGAAAAAGTACCTTAGGATTTTCCAGTGTGGTTTCTCCTTGTCAGGATGCAGCACCGGGGGCTTCTCGAGAAACCAGGTTTATATGTACACGTTGACGTGCGCATACAAGAACCCTATACAGTTGGAATTCGAAATAAGAGTACACAATAGTACCACTGTCTGGGCCAATTTTCCTCATAGCACACTGCTTGACGAATATCAATATTTATTAACTTTTGTTCAGAAGACTTATGTCCGGAAACCGTTTGTGGTATCATCTAGACAGATGAATTCATATTTGTCAGTCATGTATTTCATAAAGTGAAAAGTGTAAAATGAATCATCGAAGTCTCTGTGTCCGGCAACTTGTGTGGTATAGTCTAAATATGGTATCCACAGATCATTTTCGTCTGTAATGTAATGCACACCAAGTTCTAAGTTTAAAAATAATCATCACGAAAATAATTGGAAATGCATTTACGACTAGGTATCCCAAAAGTCATCCCCCACGATTTCCTCTTTTCTTATGTATTGTTCTTACATGTAGAACTTGTTGTGAAATACGTCACTGACGAAAATGACCTGTGGATACAACATCTAGACTATACCACAAAAGTTACTGGACACGGAGTCTTCGATGCAAAAACGGACCACATTACCATTTCTGAACGAATAGGAGAACTTAAATTCTTAATGACTGGATATACTACAAATGATTTTCACTCTGGTAAAATGGTGCAAAGACAAAGGAAATGAAATTAAAAATGCGTCAGTTGGCCCCGTTGTATTGTTATGGGGTGGGGGTGGGGGTGGGGGTGGAGAGTCGGATTAACCAGATATTTTCTCCAAAGAATGTGTCAATTCTTAACATTATCATTAGCATCATATGTTTTTATGCATAAAAACAATTAAGCTACATTTAGTGTGTCTTAAGGTTAAATTCTTTGAAATTCTAATTAGCTGACGGGTAAGTTCTGCACATGGTTTATTTATTGACAGGTAGATTCCTGGGTCAGGTCAAATTAAGTTGCCCTAAAAAAACTATTACAATTTGCTATTATAAACCAATCCAATAGAAAGATTGATGATTGTCCCTTTTTTTTCTGAAACAATCATCTACAATAAACAAATTCAGTGACTCTGAAAACTTAATAGAGGACATATTGCAAGCCATATCAAACAGAAAATTGACGATTATCTTAAAAATTGATCAATTTAGAGAAAATCTGGCCGCCATTTTTTAATTTCCGCCATCTTGGATTTTGGAAACTCTATTTTAGATTGATTTTAAGTTCAATGACATTGAAAACCCTTTAAATTACGTATTACAAACCATATCAAAGAGTGAAATGACCTTTATCTGACAAATCGGCCATTTTAGATAAATTTTGGTCGACATTTTGAATTTCCGCCATCTTGGATTTTGAAAACTCTTTTTTTCTTTTGATTAATTTTAAGTTCAGTGACAGTGAAACCCCTTTAGATTACATATTACAAACCAAATCAAACTGTGAAATGACTTTAATCTGACAAATCGGCCATTTTAGGTAAATTTTAGCCGCCATTTTGAATTTCCGCCATCTTGGATTTGGGGAAACTAGTTTTAGAGATTATTTTTCAGTTCAATTACAACAAAAACCTTATATATGATATATTACAAGCCATATTTTGCATGAAAATCACCCATCCTATCTGGAAATTCATTTTACGTCAACTTTTGGCGGCCATTTTGGAAATCAGACAAACCCCAACCGAAAATGACGTCATAGATAAAAAAAAATTTAAAAATCGTGTTCAGCTAGCAATTTCGCCTCTGGAAATTGCTGGCCTGAAATGATTTGTAAAAAAAATGTCTTATCATGACACCCCTACTTGCAAAGGAGAAGGGGAAAATGATGAGTGCCAAGTTTTCGATACGCTATGAAAAAGAACCATCGTGTTACATATCGTGTTCGGAAATCATTTCGTATTCACTAGTAACAACATCCACGAGCAGTACATTTTACATCGAAGGGTTATATAATTCCTAAAATACGTATAAACCCAGGGTTGCACTCCAGGTGTTCAGTTCAGTTATTTGTTGCTAGTGCCTATAATGCCTATAAAGTTAAGTAATTTCTGAAAAACGTATAGATAGGCTTGGGGTACCGTTGCACTCCAAATGTCCCAGAATTCAGTATGATGCTTGTACACTACAGAAAAGTACTTCCTGACCTGGGGATTGCACGTCAGGTTTCCAATTATTTGTTACTAGTGTCCTAGAAATCAGTATGTAAGTAAATGATTAAGTTACTTTAAGACCACCCCCTTTACTCGCCGCAATTACCAAATATATGCTGTGAATCGTCTCTTTAGGACGAAAAGAAAACTGACAGGTGGCTTTCTATTGCCAGGTTTCATCTTAAACATAATCAGAAGTTCAGAATCAAAAACACCAAACAAGACAAAATTAATGGAGATCAGCGGTCTTTGGTAAAGCGCCATAGCAACCTAGTTCAAAGCAATGTTTCGGGTTTCCTTATAAAGGCAATTAACGGACGATCCGATAGTCTGGCTGGAAATCATAGACACTGCGTTTTAAAAGATTGGTCGAGAAGACTAATTTCAATTTTCATTTCATGATTCTACATGGGAGGCACCCATTTCTAGACATGTATCACAAAAACTGCCGGGAACACCTAAAGATCATTAAGTGACGGATAAATCCAATAATAACTCTTGAACCTCTCAGGGTATTGATCTGGTTAACGTATCTATGAACATGCGAGAAACCAACCCGTGATGTAATCATCTTAAATTCACCTTTCACTAGTATCGTCATGGCTCCCGTCATCTTGTCGAAATTTGGTGAGCTAAATTGTATGAGTATTGATATGGTGGCCAATTTATCTGTAAACATCTATCAGATGTCAAGCGAGAAAGTTCAGAAGACGATTTCTGGCATTATTAGTTAATAACAGTGCCCCACATAAAAAATTAAAGTCTGATCCGACAATACATTTGTATTTGTTATTAGCCAGCATATATGTACCTAAAATAGGATGATCGTACGAAGTGTCAATCTATTTGAATTGGTTTTATTCTGATCAGCAATCGGAGCATTTCTGTGGAGTAGGGCAACTTTACCACAACAATAAAGTTGTTTCGGCAAATATGCTTTACATTTTGTTTGCAAATGGAAATGTATATGTCATTATCTATACAATTTGGTCTTGATTTTAGTAGCATTAATCTTTACTAATATCAAATAAGAACTAGTCCAACTTCGCGATCTAATTAGTGGACAAACTATGTATTTGAATAAAGGGGAATTACAATCACACGAGAAACGTTAACACCAGAATTGAAATCCTATTTAAATGGACATTCACGGCGAAAGCAAATAGCGAATCTGTTCACCATGTCGGTAGCAGGTAATGAGTTGGGTGTCTGGTTTAAATTGTTACAAGCAATAGGTTAATCGTTTGGTCACAAAATCAAATAGTCGATAGGCAATTCGTCTTTCTTGAAGTTTATGGGTCCATAGATGAAGTCTTAAGATATAAACGATTGTCCACACAGTAAAATGAGTAAGCTGGCCACCTTCATCATGGCTTACAGGGAAGAAGTATACGAGATATTTTGGAGTCGATTGTAGGCGATAATTCCTTGATTAACTTGGGAGCTGTATTGATGTTATCGTACATCTACACTGGAAACATTGGACAGAACAAACGATAAAGACTGACAGTTTGGTTCCCACTTTGGCATCGAATAGAATAAAAACCTAAATCCGTTAGCTAACATTTTATTTAAATGCATGCTTGGTTATACAAAATGTGTATATC